GCGCGCCACCACACCCAGCTAATTTTTGTATTTTTAGTAGAGACGGGTTTCACCATGTTGGCCAGGGTGGTCTTGATCTCCTGATCTCATGATCCACCCACCTTGGCCTCCCAAAGTGCTGGGATTACAGGTATGGGACACCTTGCCCGGCCCGTCTATCGTATTTTTTTAAAACGCAGATCATGATTCACTATGTCGTATTTTTTTTTTTCTTTTTGAGACGGAGTTTCGCTCTTGTTGCCCAGGCCGGAGTGCAATGGTGCAATCTCAGCTTACTGCAGTCTCAGCCTCCTGGGTTCAAGTGATTCTCCTGCTTTAGCCTACTGAGTAGCTGGGATTATAGGCATATGCCACCACACCCAGCTAATTTTGTATTTTTAGTAGAAACAAGGTTTTTCCATGTTGGTCAGGCTGGTCTCGAACTCCTGATTTCAGGTGATCTGCCGGCCTCAGCCTCCCGAAGTGCTGGGATTACTGGAGTGAGCCATAGCGCCAGACCCACTGTATGTTTGTTTTGTTTTGTTTTGTTTTGCTTTTTGAGACGCAGTATCACTCTGTTGCCCAGGTTGGAGTGCAGTGGTGCGATCTTGGCTTACTGCAACCTCTCCCTCCTGGATTCAAGCAATTCTCCTGCCTCAGCCTCCCGAGTAGCTGGGACTACAGGTGCATGCTGCCACGCCCAGCTAATTTTTTTGTATTTTAGAAGAGATGGGGTTTCACTGTATTGCCCAGGCTGGCCTCGAACTCCTGGGCCCAGGCAATCTGCCTGCCTCGGCCTCCCAGAGTGCTAGGATTACAGGCATGAGCCAATGTGCCCAGCCTCACTGTGTTGTATTTTTAAAAAATTATTATTAACCCAGAACTTAACAGCTTAAGAAAACACTTAAACTATGTTCCAAGAGTTCTCCATTGTATTTTATTTATTATTATTATTATTATTATTATTATTATTATTATTGTTTTTAGACAGAGTCTTGTTCTGTCACCCAGGCTGGAGTGCAATGGCAAGATCTTGGTTCACTGCAACCTCCACCTCCCGGGTTCAAGCAATTCTCCTGCCTCAGCCTCCTGACTACCTGAGATTACAGGCACCCGCCACCACGCCCAGCTAATTTTTTGTATTTTTAGTACAGCCAGGGTTTCACCATGTTGGCCATACTAGTCTCGAACTCCTGACCTCAGGTGATCCACCTACCTCAGCCTCCCAAAATGCTGGGATTACAAGCATAAGCCACCGTGCCTGGCCCATTGTATTTTAGAAATTTATGTTTCAGCTTAGAAGGTTGCATTGAATTTACTTGTATATGCTCAGTTATCTCTAAAAATGTTTTAAACTTCAGGAAAACAACTACTATTTATCCATACTGTCAAGGATCCAAGGCCAAAAAGCCAGACTATATTCAACAAAAGCCCTGTCATGATCAAAACTTTTCCCTCCTCAGGAGACCTCTGAGCAAGGACTGTTTAACAACACTGTATTTTAACACTGATCCTTCAGCTCAGCACCACTGACAGCTTCAAGGAGAATTCAAATTGACGAATGACTTATCTCTGAAAGTGTTGCCTTCAGAGCCCTTTTCATGTGCTTTCCTTAAGGACTTCTGAAGGTAATCTGGACATGAGAACCTTACATCTATAATCTGAAAGCGGCCTGAGTAAGGTTTGGTTCTGTGCTATAATATCTGTCACTGGGACGCTCTTCTCCTAGCCAAGGCCACGAGCTAGATCCCAAAAGTGGGAAATTAATTCTAGCCAGTGAAGGGACTAGTGTTCTACCATGTGCTGAAAGCAACAAAAGACAAAACCTAACACTGAGAATTCAAGCAAAATATTGTAGAAATAATTATGCATTTCTTATCAGTGAACCTTAGTTTTCCAAGACTCTATATTAGTCTATGGTTAACTCTCCAATGTCTAGAAGGAGAGTATCAGCTCTAAAGAGGTTCTCTTAGAATCATACATTTTTGGATCACAGATATCCCCCAAAAAATTCTAGTTTATGTTCACTACTAGGTATTTGTTCCCAAGACTATTACAGACAATATTTCAATAGGTTACATCAGATAGAACTGTCTTCCCAAAGGGTTAAAATGATAAACTGATTTTAATCCAGGTGCGGTGGCTCATGCCTGTAATCCCAACACTTGGGGAGGCCAAGTCAGGCAGATCACGAGATCAGGAGATCAAGACCATCTGGCCAACATGGTGAAACCCCATCTCTACAAAAATTAGCTGGGCGTGGTGGCGCGCGCCTGTAGTCCCAGCTACTCAGAAGGCTGAGGCAGGAGAATCGCTTGAACCGGGGAGGCGGAGGTTGCAGTGAGCTGAGATCGCGCCACTGCACTCCAGCCTGGAAACAGAGCGAGACTGTCTTAAAAAAAAAAACAAACAAAAAAAACCATAAACTGATTTTTGAAAATAAATGTTTTACTGGCTGGGTGTGCTGGCTCACACCTGTAATCTTGACACTTTGGGAGCCCCAAGTGGGCAGATCACTTGAGCCTGGGCAACTTGGTAAAAACCTCATCTCTACAAAAAATACAAAAATCAGCCAGGCATGATGGTGTGCATCTGTAGTCCCAGCAACTCAAGAGACTGAGGTGGGAGGATCACTTCAGCCCAGGAGGTAGAGGTTGCAGTGAACTGAGATTGTACTACTGCACTCCAGCCTGGGGAACAGAGTGAGACCCTGTTTCACAAATAAAATAAAGTAAACAAATAAATAATTTTTCCCCTTAAGTTACAAGAGAGATTTTTGAAGGCTAGATAAGAGTATAAGCATTTGGAAAACCTAAATTAAATGTATGTCTTCCCAAAGAAGGTATTTTGAGCCCTAAAGGAAAGATGCTAATGCCAATGGGAGCAATGTTCAATTTCAAGAAAGAGAACTTTAATTAACATGTTTTTCAAACTGTTTACTCTCTTAGCTCTTTCAAGTCCTTTGTTTTTAGAGAATATCTTTTCCCTGTTTTACTTATATTGGAAAAAAAAATGAAACCTAAATTCAATCATTCTGATTGCCTATTTGCCTTAAGTTTTGTTTTGTTTTTTTTGTTTGTTTGTTTGTTTTTTGGTGATGGAATTTTGCTCTGTTGCCCAAGCTAGAGTGCAATGGCACCATCTCAGCTCACTGCAAACTCTACCTCCTGGGTTCAAGCGATTCTCCTACCTCAGCCTCCTGAGTAGCTAGGATTACAGGTGTCTGCCACCATGCCCAGCTAATTTTGTATTTTTAGTAGAGATGGAGGTTTTGCCATGTTGGCCAGGCTGGTCTCGAACTCCTGACCTCCTGAGGTGGGTGATCCACCCACTTCAGCCTCCCAAAGTGCTGGGATTCCAGGCGTGAGTCACCACACCTGGCCTTGCCTTAACTTTTAAGGATACTGTTTGCTTTCAGTGAAATCAAACGCTGTCTGCTATATATAGTATGTGTTTTCCGATTATGGTAGCACAAGCAGCCTTGGGGATCCCACCATTGAGTTTCTGGCCAGAGACAAAAGGAATACAAATGTTAGGGCTTTGGTTTGCTTGTGTTTGAATACCCACACATACACAAACCTGGCCAAACTACAGCTTTCTCCAAATTTTCTTTTTTTTTTTTTTCCCCTCATGGAGACTCACCTTGTTGCCCAGGCTAGAGTGCAATGGTACAATCTCGCCTCACTGCAACCTCTCCCTCCCGGATTCAAAAAATTCTCCTGCCTCAGCCTCCTGAGTAGCTGGGATTACAGGTGCCCACCACCATGCTCAGCTAATTTTTGTATTTTTAGTAGAGACGGGGTTTCACCATGTTGGCCAGGCTTGTCTCAACCTCCTGACCTCATGATCTGCCTGCCTCAGCCTCCCAAAGTGCTGGGATTACAGGCGTGAGCCACCGTTTCGGGCCTCCAAATTTTATTTCTAATAAACAGAGGTGGACAGCACTAAAGATGAAAAAATACTAATAGTTATTATTCATTTCCCAAATCCCTTAATCCCTTTTTGACAGGCAATGTACTTCTGGTTCTTTATTTTATTATTACAATAAAAAATGGACAGCAAAAAGTAAATAACTAATTACACTAATACCAACTGAAGGTATATGATCCTAACTTGAGTCTTTATGCACTTTGAGAATTAAAAGGCATCAGTAGTAACTGTTAAACCTTCCTTGGTTGTCTTGCCTTTTCTTTTCTTTTTTTTTTTTTGATGGAGTCTTGCTCTGTCGCTCAGGCTGGAGTGCAGTGGTGCGATCTCGGCTCACTGCAAGCTCCGCCTCCCAGGTTCATGGCATTCTCCTGCCTCAGTCTCCCGAGTAGCTGGGATTACAGGCACCCGCCACCATGCCTGGCTACTTTTTTATATTTTAGTAGAGATGGAGTTTCACTGTGTTACTCAGAATGGTCTCGATCTCCTGACCTCGTGATCTGCCCGCCTCAGCTTCCCAAAGTGCTGGGATTACAGGCGTAAGCCAACACGCCTGGCTTCATTTTTTTTTTTTTTTTTTTTTTTTTGAGACAGGGTCTTACTCTGTTCCCTAGGCTAGGGAGCAGGAGCACAAACACTCACTGTAGGCTCACGAGACTCACTGCAGCCTCGACCTCCTGGGATCAAGTGATTCTCCCACCTCAGAATCTTGAAAAGCTGGGACCACAGGTGCCCACCATCTCTCCTAGCTAATTTAAAAAAAATTTTTGTGTAAATATGGGGTCTCACTTTGTTACCTAAGCTGGTCTTGAATTCCTGGGCTCAAGCGTTCCTCTCACCCACCTCCCAAAAGCTGGGATTACAGGCACAAGCCACGGTACCTGGCCTTTGGCTTTTCTCATTAATGCCCAGGCCTGGGTCTCCCACAGTCGCAAAGAGGCACTGCTGCTGCTACTTTCTTGTCTCTGCACCTGACCCTTCCTAGGACCTGTGATGCCAAGGCCATTGTGAGGGGCAAAAAAGTCAGGGTTTAGCCCCAGCTAAACCGAGGGCTCTCGCTCTTCTGGTCTCCTGGGTCTGCCCCACCTGAAGACATGAGTGGTGAGTTGGCTCCAAGTAAAAGCACAGAGCATATATCCACCTCACCTGTTTCCTGACAAATAATGACTTATACTGCGTATTTTCCAAGCATGGCAAAGTTGTAAAGGTTACTATAATGAAATATAAAGATACCAGGAAGAGTAAAGAGGTTGCATTTATTTTATTTTTGGATAAAATAATCTGTACAAAACAGTACTAGGGCAATAAACAACAGTTATTTGGTAGAGTGATAAAAGCAAGCATCACTATTGACAACAGAAGAGCAGCCGAGTTCACCCAAAGGCAGAACTACTTTGATGAATCTAAGTGTTATGTTTGTGGGAAAAGTGGACACCTAAGTTACGCCTGTCTGAAAAATATGCTTGAAGAACGTGAACCTCCAAAGAAGAAAGAAAAAAAAAGAAAGTTCCTGAACCAGTAGAAGAAACTGCAGAAGTAGAAGACAGTGAAGATTAAGGGGAGAATCCTAGTCTTGACAGCCTTATGCCACAGCATTCCAAAAAGCCAAAACTGAGGAGAAAGAAAAGAAGAAAAAAGAAAATCCAGTTCAGGAGGTCCCTCAACATCAGATGATTCAAGACGCTCAAGAATAAAGAAAAGCACATATTTCAGTGATAAGGAAGAACTCAAGTGATTAAAATTGCATTTATTGGCCAGGCGCAGTGACTCACACCTGTAATCCCAGCACTTTGGGAGGCCTAGGCGGGCAGATCACCAGGTCGGGAGATCGAGACCATCCTGGGTAACAAGGTGAAACCCTGTCTCTACTAAAAATACAAAACATTAGCCGGGCTTGGTGGCAGGTACCTGTAGTCCCAGCTACTCAGGAGGCTGAGGCAGAAGAATGGCGTGAACCTGGGAGGAGGAGCTTGCAGTGAGCCAGGATAGCACCACTGCACTCCAGACAGAGTGAGACTCTGTCTCGAAAAAAAAAAAATTACATTTATTTTGTATATATCACTAAAATAAAAAAGTCTTGGCATACAAAGTTAAAAAAAATACTCAAATGCTTTAAAAAACTCATTTAATAGATAATACATGTCCTCCATTTGGTGGACTCAAAAAAATCTCCCTTTAAGAATATAACTGGCAGGGCGCAGTGGCTCACGCCTGTAATCCCAGCACTGTGGGAGGCTAAGGCAGGTGATCACTTGAGGTCAGGAGTTTGAGACCAGCCTGACCAACATGGTGAAACCCCGTCTCTACTAAAAACACAAAATTAGCTGAGCATGGTGGTGCACGCCTGTAATCCCAGCTACTTAAGAGGCTGAGGCACAAGAACCGCTTGAATCCAGGAGGCAGAGGTAGCAGTGAGCCAAGATTGCACCATTGCACTCCAGCCTGGGCAACAAGAGCTAAACTCCGTCTCAAAAAAAAAAAAAAAAAGAACATACCCAGGCCGGGGACAGTGGCTCATGCCTATAATCCTAGCACTTTGGGAGGCTAAGTTGGGAAGATGACCTGGGCCCAGGAGTTTGAGACCAGCCTGGGCAACACAGTGAGATCCTATCTCTACAAAAAATAATTTTAAAATTAGCCTGGTGTGGTGGTACGTGCTTGTAGTCCTAGCTACTCAGAAGACTGAAGTGGGAGGATTGCTTGGGCCTAGGAGGTTGAGGCTGCAGTGAGCCATGATTACACCACTGCACTTCAGCCTGGGTGAAAGAATGAGACCCTGCCTCAAAAAAAAAAAGTAGAGTGGAATGGTGGTTCCCAGTGGCTGGGGTGAGGCGTAAATGGGGAAAGTGAAGATGTTGGTCAAATGGTACAGAGTTTCAATTAAACAGGATGAATAAATTCTGGTAATCTTTTGCATAGTATGGTGACTATAGTTAATAATAATATATTGGCCGGGCATAGTAGCTCACACCTGTAATCCCAGAACTTTGGGAGGGTGAGGCGGGTGGATGACCTGAGGTCAGGAGTTTGACACCAGTCTGGCCATCATGGTGAAATCCCATCTCTACTAAAAATACAAAAATTAGCTGGGTGTGGTGGCATGTGCCTGTAATGCCAGTTACTCAGGAGGCTGATGCAGGAGTATAGCTTGAACTCGGGAGGCAGAGGTTGCAGTGAGACAAGATCGCACCACTGCACTCCAGCCTGGGCGACAGAGTAAGACCTCATTTCAAAAAAATAAATTGCATATTTCAAAATACATTAAAAGAAAAAATTTTTAATGTTTTTACCACAAAGAAATGATAAATATTTGAGGTGATGGATATGTTGATTAGCCTGATTTGAGCATTCCACAATGTATACATGTATCAAAACATTATATTGTATCCCATAAATATACATAATTATTTGCCAATTTAAAAAAACCACTGTGAACATGGAAATTAAACAAAACAAACAAACAAACAAAACAAAAACCAATATAACCAGTTAAAGGGTAAAATCAGTCACATAAAAATTAGTATCAATAACCTAGGAGGCGGAGCTTACAGTGAGCCGAGATCGCACCACCGCACTTCAGCCTGGGCGACAGAGCAAGACTCCATCTCCAAAAAAAAAAAAAGAGAGAAATATCCCCTACCCTCTGAACTCTCACTATCTAAACTTAGGAACTGATGTGAACCTTTGGATAAACCCCTTACTAACCAAAGTTTTACTATTTACTGTCAGAAACTTAAGAACTGAATATATGCAGATAATGTTGATATCCTTATCTGATCCACCTGGACATAGGAGACAAAGGATCTGGACAGTGCATGTGTGAAAGGACCCAGCTAATTTTTTTTTAGTTGTCAATTTTTTGTAGAGATGGGTATTTCCCATATTGCCCTGGTTGGTCTCAAACTCCTGGTCTTAAGCGATCCTCCCACCTCAGCCTCCCAAAGTGTTGGTTTTACAGGTATGAGCTACCACATCCTGCCTCATATTTTCTTTTTATTTGCATAAAGAAACTCTCAAAAGATTCAATAGAAAGGAATAAGAGTTGTTACCTTTCCAGGGCAAAGGGCATAACAGGTGGATAGGTAACAGGAATGAGGGCAAGACTTTTGACCTATTAATTTTTTGTTTGATTTTTCAACCATGTGAATGTGTTACCTTTTTAAAATCATGAGGATTTTGAACAATGCCAGAAGCACAGAACAATTACCATTCAATTCAAGTTTTTAACTAGCATATAAAATATAGAAACAATGATAAACACAACTAAAATGTTAAAATTTTCAAAGTCATAAGTACTTATACCATGACTTTCACTCATTTATTATTCTAATTATGCTTTATAGAAATGATCACTGTACTAATATTACATTCTCATTTATTATAATTTTATTTGAAATGTTCATAAAAAGTTGAGAAGTGGCAAAAAATAAAATAAAAAAAATTACTCTTGCTGGTGACCAAAATTGGCCCCTGAATTACCACAATTACTTGGTACCACCAAGATCACCAGGCACCACCACAGATCTACCACATCAGAACTGCTTTGAGGACAATATCCTCCTCAAATAAATAAAATCAACCTCGACTTAAAAAAAAAAAGTTAGAACTATGTTGGGGTGGAAGGTGGGAACCAGTGGGAAACTGTACTTAAAAAAAAAAAAAAAATCAAAACTGAAAGAACAAAATCCTTCCTGTGCTGATTCTGCTGTATTTGGGAACCAGTTATTTAGTCCACTCCCTGGCCCTTTGCACACACAACTAGGATTCAAAACCTAAGTTTCAAAAAGACTCAAAAGCAGTGAAAAACAGAGCTAGCACTTAAACACTCATCTCTGAACCCCCTAGTCCAGTCCTTTTTTTTCAAGCCCCTCTAGCCTAGCTGATGGTGAAGAAAAAAGATGTAACATAATGTTACATAGAACTTTTACTCTCCTTTTGTCAAACCTGGGATCTAAAATAACTTGGGCTTTCAAGTTCTTCTTTTCCTTTCACTCAACATCTACTCAGGCTTTCTTGTTTCTTTTTTTTTCACTTTTCAGTTATGGAAGACAATTGTACCTCTGTCTAATTGTAAAATCGTTTGTATATTTTATACTTTTTCCAGAGCAGGGGAATCAACTACAGCCTGCTGCCCCTAGAAGCTCTTCTAGTCGGGAACAAGGGTTGGGAAACTATGACCCCTGGGACAGATGCAGCCAACTACCAGTTTACTTGTTTTTGTAAATAAAGTTTTACTGAAACGCAGTCACATCCATTCATTTTCCTATTGCCTATTACAGTTGTCTTGCTACAACAGAAGAATCAAGTAGTTGTGATGCTATCTTGCCCTTTACAGAAAAAGTTAGCTGAACCTGATCTAAAATCATGAAAATTATCCTCTGTCATTAAGGATAGAGATGGTAATAAGAACTTCTTTTTAGTAACAGTATGATAGTGATTACTATGTCAGTTACTTCTGGTTGAGTGGATAATTAGCAACAAATAGTCAAAAGTAGAAGGAGAAAAAGGGAGGTGAAACAAAAGACCGAAAAACAAAAGATCTCCAAGCTAGATATCCAGGACCTAACTGCATGTTAAGTATTACAGATATCTAAAATGAGGAACCATCCTGGCTCTGAACGGGAACCAGGTGATACCTGCCTCCCAGCCTACCTGTTCTGCCAGCCAGGCAATATGCTTGACCTCTTTACTGCCTCCTGCTGTACTGGTTGCCCCAAGCATGGCGTTGAGTTCAGCCAACACCTGTGGGAGGAGAGCCATTATGTTGGTGTGGATAGCTACGAACCAGGAGTGTGCTGTGGCTGTATCTTTGCAGCGTAGGATCAACGTGTTCCTGCTATCAGGAGAATGTAGCTCTATCAATCTGTGTGGAAAAAGAAAAAAAAAATGAGCTAGGACAGAGTCACCAAACCTGCCAGGTTTAAAATACATAACTGCAAATCTATTTTAACTTAGCATTTTCAAATACATCTGTATACTCAAATAAAGATACTTTCTCGGCCAGGCACAGTGGTTCATGACTGTAATACCAGCACTTTGGGAGGCCAAGGCAGGCGGACTGCCTGAGCTCAGGAGTTCAAGACCAGCCTAGGCAACACAGTGAAACCCCATCTCTGCTAAAATACAAAAAATTAGCTGGGCATGGTAGTGGGTGCCTGTAATCCCAGCTATTCAGGAGGCTGAGGCAGCAGAATAGCTTGAACCCAGGAGGTGGAGGTTGCAATAAGCCAAGATCACACCACTGCACTTCAGCCTGGGTGACAGAGCGAGACTCCGTCTTAAAAAAAAAAAGAAAAGAAAAGATACTTTCTCTTAATTTCCTAGAGCTCAATTCCAAAGAAAACAACATATGGAAAGATAAAAATCAGAGGCCGGGCGCGGTGGCTCACTCCTGTAATCCCAGCACTTTGGGGGGCCAAGGCAGGTGGACTGTCTGAGATCAGGAGTTTGAGGCCAGCCTGGCCAACATAGTGAAATCCCGACTCTACCAAAAATACAAAAAATTTAGCCGGGCGTGGGGGTGGGCGCCTGTAATCCCAGCTACTCGGGAGGCTGAGGCAGGGGAACTGCTTGAACTAGGGAGGTGGAGGTTGCAGTGAACCAAGATCCAGCCTGGGTGACAGAGCAAGACTCTGTCTTAAATAAATAAATAAATAAATAAATAAATAAATAAATAAATAAAAATATATTAAAAAATCAGAAAGACCAACTTGGGCTAGTTACTGAACCTGAGAAAAAATTAAAGAAACACCAACTGTTGGATCTGTCGTTTCAGTGTTAAAGTAATAAGCTAAGGGAACTTACTGTAGTCTACAGTAGATCACTTTG